GTCCAGACTCTCCTCTGTGCTTCTGCTCTGAACAACATTTCAGAGTGCCTGGCCTTCTTGAGGTCTCTGAGCAGGATCCTGGACGCTGCATCATCTGGTAACTCTATTGTGCTTCTGAGGACTTTATGTGTCCGAGTGACACAATGGTGGTTTCTGTTTTACTGGACTTGTGTGCTAACCACAGTATAGGTTGATGCTTGACTCTGTAATTGCATCATCAGGTCTGCAGCAGTGTGTTCTGGACACTCTGGTGAAGAGAGGAGCTGAGCTGTCATCTGATCACCATCTGGGGGTGAGTTGAGTCAGGTGGTGGGGGAGAATGCTGGACAGGCCTGGCGTATCAAAGTGGTTCAGGTGATCTTCAACTCCCACCTCCAGCAGAGCTTTGGCAGCAGTCTGAGTGAGGCTGGGGACTCATTGCTGATGGGGCTGTGCAGAGCTTTGGCTGCAAGCTGGTTGGTGCTTGTAGTGTTGCTAACCTCCTAACCAGATCTCATTAACTCCTCGTGTTTTGGGGAATGAAAGGTCCAGCTGAAACATCCACTCTTTGTCAGATTGTTGTCTTCATTCTGGTGGTAATTCAGCTTTAATTTATGACTTATGAGTTTGTGCTTGTAGCTTCTGTTACCTCACCATGTTCTCTTGTGTCTGCTCATAGCTCTGTGGACTTGAGTTACCTGAAACCTGAAGGATTGTCTCATTGCCTGCTGTTTGGAAAGGACTGACTTGTAACAGAGCTGGAAAACTCACCTGCCCATCCACTCTCCACCCACTCAGCCTTCTGAAGCCTTCACTTACCTCCCTGACACAGAAACTCCAAAAGTGAAACACAAGAAAGGACTCTAATAAATACTATATAAGCAATTCTGACTGCACTGATACTCAGCAGTCATTCTCTCGGGCAGTTCTCTGGTGTCTCCCTGCTCTGTCCCTCTGCAGGAAACCTACTTACCTGCCCCCCTGTCTTTGAACCTTCTCAAAATAAAAGCATGTAAAGCTTTAGCCTCATGTGGGCTGCGTTAGAGTCGATGCATTCCTGTAATCATGACACTGAGAGGTTGCTCCAGGGATTTAAATCATGTATTAATCGTAGTGGAGAGAAATTAATATGAATATTTCCTGTGTGAAGATGATGGTGTGATATCAGGGCTGCCACATGAAGGGGCAACGTGAACAAGTTTATGAATACCTCAGAAAAAAAGCTTCAATGAGTATAAATGATCTTCTGATATTAACGATATCCTGGAACACCAACATGCACGCTCAGTCATCCAGGTAAGCAAATCCCAAAAAGTTGATTCTGTTCATCTGGATGTTTTCAGTGGGAGAAACGTTTCATCATCATCAGGTGATGTCTTCAGTCTCAGCTGACTGCAGGTTTCCAACCTTAGAAACGGGACATTTGCACAATGACTGAAACCAGCAGCACTGAATGAACACTGGGCTGTGAGGTCAGTTTATGACCATTAGTATGCAAATCGTCACAACCATTGATCAACAACCACTGATCAATGGTCACGAGTACCACTCTCTGTTTATCATACTAAGCTGCTGTGGAATCAGAAAAGTATTTGATTGGCTGAGATGAAGTTACAAAAAATATTAGAGCTCCTCCCACCTGAAAGTGAAGATGCTGCTACTAGTGTGTAAAGCAGGAGGAAGTGAGAGAAGTTCAAATCCAGATCAGAGAGGAGGAGGAGAGATTCAGGGAGGAGCTGAGCTGTTACTGAACTAGAAGAGAGAGAAACCTCCACATTCAACAGAGTTCAACACAAACCATAAACTTTACCTTCATTCAACATGTTGTCTTTGGACTATTTTGCACTTTCTTTACTGATTCTCACCATTCTAACAGGTACGTTACAATCTGTGTGTTTAAAGAAACACATTTGAATTGTGATGATTTATAAAAGAATAAAACATGTTTCTGTTCCTTTAGGTGTCAGCTGTGAAGATCTCACTCCAACCAACAAAGAAGTGTTCAGTGTAGAAGGCAGCACTGCTACTCTGTCCTATAGATACTCCAAAAAGGCAACTGGAAGTGATAATTTCTACTGGTATCGACAATATCCTGGAAAACCACCAGAGTTCCTGATCTCTCATTTACCATCCGGAGAAGTGATGAAAAAAGAAATCTCTTCACTCACATTAATCTCTATTAATGTGAGTGAAGATAAAACACTGATGACTCTTCAGATCTCCTCTGCTGCAGTGTCTGACTCTGCTGTGTACTACTGTGTTCTGCAGCCCACAGTGACAGGAAACAGCAAAACTCTGTACAAAAACCTTTGGAGCAAAGACAACAGAATACTCCACAACATCCACTAGAGGGAGCCACACACTGTTAAACCTCTGATTCTTGTGTGACTGATGACAAAGACAACAGAAACGTGACGATCCAGTTCTGGGACCAGGAGTTGCAGTTTTAACAGTCTTCCACACCAGCTTATTGTGTTTTTTTTTATATTTTTTTATTTTTAAAATTTTTTTTCCAAAATTTAAAACAAACACAAACCCCAAAACAAACAAAAACAAACAACCATGCACTTCACAAAAACCACAGGTACCAAAAGCTACCAAAACATCAAACCTACTTCCAGTGGCCGCTGCACTTTAAACGGGAGTAGCTCAGACGTCAGAGAACATCCAAAAACTACAAGTTCAGGCTGTGCAGGCTTCATATCTGCCTCAGAATACCAGTCAAACATTTTAGAACAAAAGTCATGGAACAACGGACCTTCTGCCAGTCTACACCTGTCACACATTGGGGAGATAGAAGGATAAATGTTGTGCAGTCTGGCCTTAGAACAGTGTAACCGGTGGAGGATTTTAACTGAATTAACTGGTGTCTGCTGTTTATAGAGCAGGAGTGGATTTTAGACAGACACTTACTCCGCATAGATTCAGGCACCTTCATCCCCGATTTATTCTCCCAAGCCTGCCTAATCCCAGCTGTATGCACCACAGCAGAATTACCAAATAACTGTACAATTTTGGTGATATGATGTCTGGAATCAGGTCTTGAGTATTTTGTAGATGCCATGTTCTGACGGTGGAGTTGCAGAATCTTTAAACTTGGACTGGATGTAATGCCTGAACTGCAGATATCTATATAAATGTGAATGTGGCAGATTATATTTCCCTTTTAGTTGACAAAAGAAGAAAATGTGTTATCAACATACAAATCCTCAATAGACACTAAACCCTTTTCTCTCCAGTCATGATACGTCTTATCTTGCCAAGAAGGCATAAAATCATGATTAAAATACATCTGTACAGGTGTGTCTGGCAGTTCCAGAAATCTTCTCCTCTGATTCAAGATTCTAACGGTTTGTTTTAATTAAAATATTAGCAGCTCAGGAGTAATGTCTGAAAATTGGCAGGCCCAGCCCTGCGTCTCTCTTGGATTTCTGCCCTCTTGCCATTCCAAATATAGGACGTTGGCAGCTAATTCATGACCTTCCATGCGGTTCTGTAAGTCAGTCTGTACGGATAGCACCGACTGGAACTTGGCCTCAAAAGCATCAAACCGTTCATCAGGTCTCTCCAGGATTGATTCAGATGTTGTCTTACATATTTCCTGGCACATGTCCTACATTTCAATCTTGTCATCTGTGGTGACAACTTTAGGCTCAGCCAAAGCCCTGCTAGCGCAGCTATCATTAGCACCAAGCTCGCTAACATTAGTGCTGCTAATGTATCTGTCGATGGTCTTATTCTCGCCCAGGTTCAAGGCTTTCTTCAGCAGTTTGAGATGTGCAGGGCAACGATTAAGCCAAAGGAACCAGTTGATTATTTAAGCTCCTGAATGGTTTTATCTTGTGTTGTATGGAGAGCTCAAACCCACGCGTCTACATCATACACATGTGCACTAGCCTTCCAACCAGCTTATTAATCTACCAGCGACCCAGACAGAGTTTTCATTCATTTTAAAGCCTGAAAGCTGTTTTATTTGCTATCATCTATCGTCCACCTGGGCCTTACACAGAGTTTCCATTGATGGAAGGACTCGACCAAACTGGAGCAGGGCCAAGCGATGGGTTTGGTGACTCACCCCCAGTTGCCACAGATGCGTCCCCAGTAGGGTGTGGTCCACGAGGGCTGTGTGGTCACCAGCCATTGGACCAGCCATTGAGAGTCACAGCACATAAATGTGTTGGAGCTGCAAGCTGTGGTCCTGCCATGGTCACAGCAGCCTACATGAAGAGCCGGGGGGCCTAGGCTCCCCCCTCCTCTCCAGGATGGCTACCAGGCTGTGGCAGTGGGATCACCTCCTGTTCCACTCACTGAGAGCAGTTCATGTTCCAGGGCCATTGAATATGGCATCGAGTTCTGGAGACACAGAGACACAAAAAGAAAACTGATGATGATAAACTCTGGACTCATGTTTTAAAATCAGTTTTGCTTCACAGAAACTCAGGAGGTTGTGAGTAGAGCAGGTCCACAGTTTGATCAAAGTAATGTTTGATTCATTTTAGTATCACTGCATTTATAACTGTTGAATGATTGTGGCTGAGCTGGGTGCTTAGTTAAAGTGTGTGCTGTAGAACATAAAGGATCATTCCCAAGCAGTGAAAGCAGCTTAAAAACGATCCAACAACTAAAACTGGTCCATTCAGAAAAGAGCTGCTGTTAAAAAAGTGCTTCTGCTGGTGTTCTTGTGGTCAGCAAGCTAACTAATGAAGCTCTGCAATGTGAAAGTGTTATTCACAAGCACACAAAAGCTGCTCTCTAAAACCTTCAACACCAAACAGTGTGAACTTTCCATTTAAATGAAGCAAGAAGAACTGTTTTTAAGGATGACTGGGACATAAAGTTTACCAGGACAGCAGATACAGCACTTATTTTTCACTGAACAATGAAGGAGGCAGCTTTCTTCTGGCAGTTCAGGAATAAACTGCAAGAAGTCTACACTGACCTTTCACCCTTCAGTAAAGGCTCAAACTTGTGTAGAACTATTGCACATTTCTGAGGGGGAAGAGGAAGTGAGAGAAGTCAGACTCAAAGAGGAGACAGAGGGCGACATCATCCAGTAGGCGGGGCTCTCCTTCTGCACTGTGTTCAACCATTGTGTCAATAATAAGTGCTGCTGTGAAGAGAACAATTCTCAGACTGAATGTTGAACATCAGCTAGTTTCTCCTGTTGATTTAAACCTTGTTGTACAGATGGAACATTGGCTGTGGATTATTCTTGCTGCTCTTTTCTTTGGTGAGATACAAACATCAACATGTTTCCTCTGCTTAAATAAATGTGTGAGTCTGATTAATGGTGAGTTTTTAATCATGTTTATTGATCCATCTCTTCCTCTGCATGTTCTGTTCTTCCTCAGAGTGTAAAGGAGAAGACAAAGTGATCCAGGAACAAGGAGATGTCATTGCTGCTGAAGGAGACACAGTTACACTTGGATGTAGATATGAAACCAGTGACCCAGGCCCGACTTTATTCTGGTACAAACAGGATGGAAACAACAGCCCCAAATTCATCCTGAGCCGTGTTAGCAGGGATGATGGAAACACAGCAGATGAGTTCAGGGAGAGATTTTCATCCACACTGGATTCCAGCATCAGATCAGTTCCTCTGAAGATCCAGAAGCTTCAGCTGTCTGACTCTGCTGTGTACTACTGTGCTCTGCAGCCCACAGTGACAGGAAACAGCAAAACTCTGTACAAAAACCTTTGGAGCAAAGACAACAGAATACTCCACAACATCCACTAGAGGGAGCCACACACTGTTAAACCTCTGATTCTTGTGTCATTGGACTGATGACAAAGACAACAGAGAAATGAAGCAGTAAAGATCAGAGACAGAGACAGAGCTGCTGTGGAAGCACAAAACTGTTTGATTGGCTGAGCTATTAAACTGGCCCCGCCCACTGAAGTTGAGCTCATCCAATGACATTATTTGTTGGTCATTGTGCTGCAGTGGAAGAACATTGTTCATGTGCTGTCTGTCTGGCTTTAATAACTCCAAAGACATGTTGCTGCACCTCTTTTTGCTTCTATCTCACATTATAGGTGAGTTTAAGAACAGGGATTAAAGTTTAGTTGAAGCTGCTGCATTAAGCAGATATACAGACTGCATTTCACTACTTTTCTTCTTTCTTTTTCCAGGACTAACAGCTGGAGACTCAATCACTCCTCAACAACCTGAAGTCACTGAAACAGAAGGACAATCTGTCAAACTCACATGTAGCTATGAGACAGATGCAGGTGGTGCTTTTCTTAACTGGTACAGACATGATTCTGACCTCCAGGCCCCTCAGTTTATACTCTTCAAAGGAGTAGAATCACTGAGCGGTTTTGATTATGTTCCTGATAATCGATATGACTCAGAAACATCTTCTACATCAACTAATCTGACCATAGCAGCCCTAACCCTGGCAGACACAGCTCTCTACTACTGTGCTCTAGAAACACAGTGATACAAAGTGTAGAAGAGGCTGTACAAAAACCTGAACACAGATATCTGACTACTCTTCAAAGAGGAGGGAAGTGGTATTCAAAGCACAGCTTCATATCAGATGGATTCTGCTAATTCCTGTTTTATCAGAGTCACTGTGGTTACAGCTGCTAATGAAACACTGTGGGAGGATTCACATGAGCAGCAAATCCACATCAACCACAAACCAACTGCAGGAACGTTCAGACATGAAGAAAAATATAACGATGAACTCTCAAATTAACTAGTTTTATTCAGTATTTTACTCTAAAGTCCACAGGTGTTAGTTCCCCATCAGATATGTGCTGGGGTTTTTTTTCAAAACATAAATTACAAAAACTTTACATAAACAAGTTTTATGAATACAAGAAATCATAAAATGCTTGGAAACATTATAGGATTATGAAACGAATCAAATGGATTAAAATGTGTTGGTTTCTTTAGTGAAATTCTTTTCATATAAAATTAATGTTTCCTAAGATTTGTCGGCGAGTGATGAAGATGTTCAAAGGAGTTAAAAACAAAGGTTAAAACCACTGGAGGTTTCTGAGTTTGTGCTGAAAGCTGTAACATGTGTTGAGGTTTGGTTTTGGTGTTTGTAACATGCAGAGATATGAGAGGAGGAAGAGGCTGAAGGAGGAGGAAGAGGCTGAAGGAGGAGCAACACTGTCACAGAGCAGAAAAGGACTCCCACTGTCAGATACATTCAATATGTGAAGCATACAGAACAGATAGTGTGTGGAAGATGCTGTCACTGCATTACTGGCTCATGTTTCCTTTGTTTGTGATCACACTAACAGGTCGGTTAAAGCAGGAAGAAGAAATGTCTTTAAAGGATCTGTTTGCTAGAAATCACTGGAACAGGCGCTCACAGTTTAACATCGTCTTTAACAACATTTATCTCTTCCTTTAGGTGTCAGCTGTGATCAACTCACTGCAGTCAAGGATGAAGAGTCCACTGTAGAAGGAAACACTCTCACTCTGTCCTACAGATTCTCTGGACAAGCTAATGTCAATGATTATTTCTTCTGGTATCGACAATATCCTGGAAACCCACCAGAGTTCCTGATCTCTCATTTGGCATCAGGAAACATATTGAAACAAGAATTTCCCACAGTGTCAGTTAAAGTGCATGACGATCAAAAACAAATGGATCTTCAGATCTCCTCTGCTGCAGTGTCTGACTCTGCTGTGTACTACTGTGCTGTGAGGCCCACAGTGACAGGAAACAGCAAAACTCTGAACAAAAACCTTTGGAGCAAAGACAACAGAATACTCCACAACATCCACTAGAGGGAGCCACACACTGTTAAACTTCTCTGTTTTCTGCATTCCTTGTGATGATTGTAGCATCCCCAATTGAAAAGATGATCTCAAATCTATTGAACAGCCATGTCTTCTCCTCTTCCTGAGCTTCACTGTGTCTTTTTTAGCTCTCCGAGGCTTACCCGTAGAGGCGGCGGCTTAGCCTCGGTCTCTAAATGTAAATACAAAGTCCGACAGCTAACCTCTCCTTTCTACCTCAGCTACGAGGCTCAACTTTTGGAGATGACCGCCCCTCGAACTACTCTGTTTGTTCTGGTTTACCGGCCACCTAAATATAATAAGACTTTTATTCATTAATTTGCTGACCTTCTTAGTTCGGTTATTTTTAAATATGACTGTGTGATTATTATTGGTTATTTTAACATTCATATCTGCTGTAAGGACGATCCGTTAGCTAAAGACTTCCTTGCATTAACTGATTCTTTTAATCTTGCCCAGTGAGTCAACCAATCAACCCACACTAAGGGCCATACTCTCGATCTGTTTTTTCACATGGTTTGGACATTTGCATTAGGGATATAAGCAATGTTGGGATTTCCTGTTATCTTTGATGTTAATTTATGTAATTCTGAACTTCTGAACCATCCCATGGTTGATGACTTTGCCAGCACCTTTTTTTTTCACATGCTCCTCCATCCTCAATACTTTTGCCCCTATTAAAATGAAGCAACCTAGATCCTTTTCCCAATGTTGGCTAAATGATTCTACTCGTGCCTTGCGACCTGCGTGCCGCAACGATGAGAGAAGAAGGAAGAAAGCAGCATGCCTCAAGGATCTGTCCTTGGTCCCCTGCTCTTCTCACTGTATATGCTTCCCTTAGGCGCAATCTTTGAGAAGTACAACATTGCACATCATTGTTATGCCAATGATATTCAGATCTATTTCGAATTAACTGATGATCCTGCCATGTCTTGTACCGTTTTCGTGAGCGTATGCACGAGGTCAAAGATTGGCTCTCTGGTAACTCTCTTATCTTAAATGACAGGAAAACCGAAATCATCGTGTTCGACAGTAATATCCCTTGCGGCCAACTCCGTGACGCCTTTGGTCGCTTTGCCAGTTACCTCTCCGACACCGTTTGTGACCTGTGTGATTTTGGATAGCTCATTTAAATTCGAGAAACAAGTGTCTTCTGTTGTTAAATCCTGCTTCCACCAATTTCGTCTTATTAGCAAAGCCAGACATTATGTCCCGCATAGAGACCTGGAAAAGCTCATCCTCGCCTTCGTGACATCTAGGTTGGATTACTGCAACTCCCTTTTATTATTTTTTATTTGGCCTGAACTCTACTCTTCTCCATAGACTGCAAATTGTTCAGAATCCGGCGGCTCGTATCCTTACTGGTACGGTGTGTCTCCATTACCCCCGTCCTTGCTGACCTGCATTGGCTTCCTGTTAAATACCCTATTTAATTCAAAATCCTGCTGCTCACCTTTAGAACTATTAAAAATAAAGCGCCAAGTTACCTCATAGAACGACTTAGATCGGGGTGGCCAGCTCCAGGTCTCAACAGCCGGTGTCCTGCAGGTTTTAGATCTCACCCTGGGTCTCCACACCTGAATCAAATGATTGGTTCATTACAAGGCCTCTGGAGAACTTCAAGACATGTTGAGGAGGTAATTTAGCCATTATATCAGCTGTGATGGATCAAGGACAAATCTAAAACCTGCAGGACACCAGCCCTCGAGGCCCGGAGTTGGCCACCCCTGGCTTAGACCATACACCCCTGCTAGGGTACTAAGATCATCTTCCCAGTCATTTTGGTACAGCCGAGACTGCACGTTTGCCTTGGCTGCCATGAAATAAAATACACTATAATACAATTGTCTTTGACTTTGCACAGCATATAACAGTGAACATTGCAAACCTTTGCACTGCCGACTAAGCGTGACAAACTTATCGTGGTGCGTTAGCACCCTCTGGTGGGTGAAAACCCTTACACTTACGGTCAGCTGCTTTATGCTCTGTGAAATAACAAATACACATGTACACAACAAAACTTTGATACCAACCTTGTTCCCGCATCAACCTGGCGCTAAGGAACCATTTGTGACACCTTAACTGCCATCTGTTTCCTGTTTCTTAACCGCTGAGAACGCCACATTCAAGCTCGCGCTGTTGCTCTATCGTTTATGTAAACTGACTTACGACACCGTGTAGGTCTATACCTTTTCAAAGTAAAAGCATCAACTGTTTCCAAGCTGAATAGTAAGCACTTATGAACCAATTTTTAATAAAGTAAATATTAATAGGTTATTTACAGCAATAATTACACAGATTTAAATAAATAATTTCACAGAAACTTCATGTCAGTCAGTAAACACAGAAACAGTGACAGACAATCAGATTTATAGATTTATGTTAACTCCTAAATTAGATTGTTCAGATAAGGATCTACCAAGACCTTCCTTTCTCTTCACTTCTTCATTTTCTTCTTCTTCTTCTTCCTCAGTAAAGTACAGTATAATGAGTAAAGTATAATACCTTGATGCTTTTTTGCCTTGGTGAATAAAAATGTAAGTAAAAAACAATAAAATGAAATAGCTTGTTAAATTCATTGCAGCAAAATGAAGCAGTGTTAAGTGTTTCAGTGCAACTGATTATAAAGTGTAAATACAACGCATGTTTATCATCAGAAAACTCTTGTTCTCATAAAGAACTGCTATCAGGAAATTTCAGTGAGGTTTTATTACAGACACAGCTCAGCTGGAGGCAGAACAACAGAAGAACTCCAGAATAAACCAATTTCATCCATTATTTTACTCCAACCACAGAGCCAGCCTTCATGGTCATTCTCTTCATGTCTTGCAGGAATACAAGACATTATATCAGCAGGGGGAATAACACAGGGCTGTGAATGAGTCCTGTCACTGTGATCAGGCTCCTCCTTCTAATCC